ATGCTTAAGTATGAAATTTATGTGATCTTTCATAAATGTTGTTCCATGTTGATGTTTGATATGTACTTGTTATTTGTAGTCGAACCCTCGGGTCAAATTTGATGTTGCCGACGATTCTCGGATGTTTTCCCCAACTGTTGACCCCAGTTGACCCCTTTTGACTTTTGGTTAACTTGGTCAACCCCTATTTGACTTTTATGTGGCTTTCCATACTTGATTTCGAGTCGAATCAAATGTTCCATAACTCCTAGAGAATTTCCCACGAGCTACTTAGTCGACGAGTTTTGACTAAGTCTGTGTAATCGTTGGATTAGTATTAATCATGAGGCTATCTTGATTTCGTGTAGGTATTTGGAGGTGTTGACCTCACCACTTATCCGAGCCTTGCATTTGTGTTTACCGTTGCTTTCAGTGGGTACATGTACATTGTATCTATAATTATCACACTCGTTATTTTGTATAAATGTTCATTTCGATAGCTATTGTATGCGTGAGAACCCTAGTCTAAGTGTCTCGTCGATAGTGCCTTTGATGAATGCATAATTAGTGAGAGGTCGCGTGCCCGTCGCATCCTGGAGGGACGCCCCGTGCCGTTGTATCCAGAGGAGGAAAAGCAGCTCTATTGTCTCCTAGAAAAGATCTTATGCCCGTTGCATCTGGGGTGGGAATGTTTTCGGTTACTCCTTGTCGATCTCTGATCGGAATCTTGTTGTATGTACATATGAGGTTTGCGATAGGGCCATATAGGGAGTTAGAGTTTGGATTCTATGCAAACTTTACTTATGGTTTTGAATCTTTATGCGAAATATACTGTGCGGTATTGGTGAGCATGGTAGTTGTGCTCACCCCCATTGTTTTTTGTCCTCTTGTTTCTTCTTCCTATCTTCAGGTTGAGTATGGTTGGCGGTGGCAGCGAGAGATGATCCGGTGGTGGTCATTGGATTGATGTGTCTTTTGCTTCCGCTATTATTATCTTTGTTGGATTGCTTAGTACTTGGGATTATTATGCTTCCGCTTAAATTATGTTGAACCATGTTGAACTTTTGGCTCTGTTTTGAGTCTTATGAATAATCTAGTTTGATTATTATAACTGTTAGTTTGCATATGTAAGTTCATTATGTTTGTTCTTATTTTTTATTTATTTTTAGTAGTTAAGTAACGCCCGTTGAAATTTAAAGTATCTAAATTGGAATTTTGCGAAAAATTAACTCTGATTTTATTAAATAAATTCTGTAAACTCTTTAAAATAAAACGGGGCGTTACAGTATTGTATCAGAGCTAGTCTGCATTTTTGTAGACTATCTCTAGTGTTAGTGTGTTCTGACCAATGACCACTCGCTTTTGTCTCACCGCGCCAGCTTGAGGTATGAGTTTTGTTATTTTGTTTATCTTATATGGGGCTTAGGACTATCCACCTTGTTATATGTTGAATTCTAGTGTTTGTGTGATGAACTCTAGAAATGAGAACTTTTTATTCTAAACTTGTCGGATTATTCAATGTAGAGTTATGGCTCGACGTACTACTCGCCACAACAAGTAACCATCCCCGTCTTTGTCCCCACCTCCATCCCCGCCCCATCAGCAGGCTCCTCCCGACCTGAACTGGGATTTTCTGAGGCTTATCGTTCAGTTTCAGTGCATGCATTCGCCTAGATTCACAGGGACCGAGAGCCCCACCGCAGTACTGGAGTGGATAAAGGAGCTCGATAACATATTCGTTGTAATATCCCGACTATTTATCAGTATAAATTATATTTTAGTTCCGATATTATTTTTTCGGAATTAAGTATTTTCAGTTATTTCAGTCGAAATTACCGGAAAATATTTTCGACGTACCGTTTACGTTCGGAATAATTTGTTATTTAAGCATTATGTTTAATTGGATAATTAAGCATAGTTAAGTGATTAATTTACATTAATCACGAGATTAGCATTAAGTGTTCGGATTTTTCAATCCATTCATGCAATGCCGTGCGTGGAGATCCTTTTCACTTCCAAGTCATGCCAAAATGCCGTGAGTTTCTATGTGCCATGCTAGAGTTGAAGTCAAGATTCCTCCCAACATTTTTTTCCTTAGATGCCGTGCAAGTATTAGTGGGGGAAGTGTCCAAGCTTCATGTGTATCCGTGCTCCTCCTTTGTCCTTTAGCCGTGCGTGGGAACCATCAAGTGAAGAGGAAAGCTTGTCATCGAGTTCAAGTGCATAAGCTTGAACATCTCCTTGAAATATCCGAACATATATGCATGCACTTTCGGTTCCCTCATAATAAATTAATCCTAGTGATTTGGAGTGTATTGCATGGCATTTTGTATTTTAGTGTGTTGTGTCCAAGCCTTTATGCATGTATGCTAAGTGTCCTAGCCCTTGACCTCATCATGTGCATTCGGTTTTTATAAGTTAGGCCTTGGGGAAATTTGTTTCATTTTTCTCCTCCAAGTGCCGAGAGTATAGAGAGCATTGTGTGAGTTGTGCAATTTTTGGAGTGTGTTCGTGAGCTATTGCCGAGAGTAACCGCAAGCCACGAGCCATCGCACGCACGCACGCGGGGTTCCTCAACGGCCAAGCACGGGAGTTCGAGAAGTTTAGCCTCTTGAGCTTTATAAGAGGTAAGTTCCTGACGGTTGTTGACCAATCCTATCATGTTTATTTAGTTCTATTTTCCCGTTAGTAGCATGCATGCGTGTTATGTGCGAGAAGCCTTAGCCGTGCCAATTATTGTCATGTTATGAGTTATTTTCTCTTCG